TAGCTTCCCTGTCTCTAATGCCCCTTGTGCCACCCCATCACAGGGGCTCATTGTGCCCTTTGGAGCCTTAGAGAACATATCTGCTTAGGTCCCTTGGCTCCAAGGCAATCCCACTGAGTTGTTTTCTGTTTGTTTGTTTGTTTGTTTGTTTGTTTGTTTGTGGCAGGGTCTTGCTCTGTTGCCCAGACTGGAGTGCAGTGGCACAATCATAGCTCACTACAGCCCCCACCTCCTGGGGCCAAGCAATCCTCCCACCACAGCCTCCCAAGTAGCTGGAACCACAGGCATGCTGTGCCACCATGCCTGGCTAATTTTTTTGTGTGTAGAGATGGGATCTCCCTGTGTTTCTCAGGCTGATCTTGAACTCCTAGCTCAAGCGATCCTCCTGCCTTGGGCTCCCAAATTACTGGGATTACAGGTGTGAGCCACTGCATCTGGCCCTAGCAGAGAATTAAAGATACTGGTTACATGCCCTGATTTTTTCCCCCAAAGGAAACCCCAGTTCTTTCACTAATTTCTCTAATGGCTAACAGAGGGAGAACAAAAGTCAAGGTCACTAAAGAGAAACAAAAAGTGGAAAAGAACATCTTAGCTCTATTTCCCCCTTATCCATCTACTTTTAGAGGGGAGCCCGTGTTAGCTGCAGAAGGCACTTGGAAGGCCTTAACTTTCTAAATACAAATCCAATCATTTATCTTCCCTTCCTAATATCCTCCAACAGCTCCCCACCGCCAACTACTCTACCCATGGTACACTGAGCTCGTCCTTTCACATCTCTGGGTCTTGTTCTATAACTCCTTATATCCCTTTTCTCCTGGCAAACTTCTATACTTCTCCAAACCCCAGTTCAAATAACATCTCCCTTGTGAAACTTTCCTTGGCATTGTCCCCAGCTGCCCACTCCCCAAGGCAGAGCTGAGGCCATTACAAATGGCCTTTTTCTGGTCTCATCAGACATGGATTGGGTTCCTGAGTCTCTTTGTCTCTCTCCCTCTTTCTCCCTCATTTCCCAGAGAAACCTCCTCCTCTCACTCCTGATCCGTTCATTCAGCAAATAGTTTTTAGCATCTATTAGGTAGGCTCTATAGATACACAGCAATGAATAAAACAGACAAGGACCTTACTGTCCATTTGTACAGATGCCCTCCCTCCCACCTTATAGGGAGAAGAGAAGCCATCAGTCAGTAATTCCCTCAACATCTGCCCATCAAAACACACAAATGCCCCCATCCACAACCATCTCCCATCTCCTCCCCCCTTTCAGTCCTAGAGGAGGGAATGAGCCACCTCCTGTTGAAGGCCAGCCCCTCTGTCTTCACCCTGGATCTCTCCCTTTAACCTCATCAAAGACTACATTCCATCAGTCGTCTCCCCTCTTGGTAGTGAAGCAGTAAAAAGTGTTCCATTTTGGGTGCAGGCAATAAGGGCACAAACTAAAGAGTGTGTAAAAATAATAATAAAACTGACTAAAATCTGGCCTGCTTTTTATTAGCAACATGCATCAGCAATTCTAGCCCACATCAGTAATAAAATACTCCTGTCTCCTGGGACTGAGATGGGGATATGCCCATATACACACTTAGTACCCCAGTGGCTCTTTGTCCTTCAGCATACAAACAAGTCTCTCCCATCTACAATAAAAATCCTCTCTCAACCCAATGTTCTCCTCGAGATACCTCCTCTTCTCCTAATTCAAATCCAGGCTTCTAGACTCCCTGACTCAAGCTCTTCAACTTCCTTTATCCCTCAGTCTACTGCAACCTGGTCTCTCTGTCCATCACTCAGCTGCAATTGCTCTCACCAAGGCCACCAACTGGGCACTTTCTAACCCTCAACTTACCTGACTGCTTCCCAACTCTGTAGGCCATTTCTTCCTGGACACCTCTATCTCTCTTGGCTATCATAATATCACACTCTCCTGGTTCTCCTCCACACTCTGACCACTCCCTCTTAGCCTTTTTAATGGGCTCTGTATTTTCTACCTATCCTTAATATTGCTATTCTATGAGTCTTCATTGTTGGCCCACTTGGCTTCTTACCCCACACATTCTGCCTGGTCTGTCCCAACCACACCCACAGCTTCAAGTACTGTCTCTCTCTTGCTGAGCTCCAGACCCACTTTCTAGCTACTTCCACTGGAATGCACCATGGACATCATAAATATGATGTGTCTATCCGTGTCCTGTGTTCTGTACCCCAGTGAATTATCCCTCTGTCCATTCGATCCGCAGTAGCATGTAAGTCAAAGGGACTCCTTTCTCCTCCTGTAACACATGGTCACTAAGTGCTGTGGCTGCTAACTCATGATCCCATCTATCCTCATCTCTCAATGATCTCTGCTACTATCTTAGTTCAGCCCTTGTGCTCTTTCTCCTGCACTATTGCACCATCTTCCTTCTTCATCTTCTGGCTCCCAATCATTCCCTCTTCAATCCTTTCTTTGCAATTGCAGCTTGAGTGATATTTTGAAAATACAAATCTGAGCATGTCAGATCCCTGCTTCAAATCCTCCCCATTGGCCTAAAGCATAAAGTCTAAGCTCTTTATCCCAACATTCAAGGCCCTTCACGATTTCCCCCTGCTCCTCTCATCCCCAACACTTCACTCCCATACCCCCACATGCCCTCTGCTCTAACCACATTTAGTTACGTAGACCCAGGCATGCTGTGTTCCTTCCTGCCTCCATGCTTCTGCATGCAATTCCTAAGCTTAGAATGCTCTAGGCTGCCTGGGAAAAAGGACCTTCTCACCTTCCCTGGGAAGTCTTCTCTGGGAAGCCTTCTCCATGCTTAGAATTAGGTTCTCCCTTCCATGCTTCCTTAGCTCTCTGTTTATGTATCACACCCTATAGTAGCCACTTTTTCACCCAATGCATTTTCACTGAACACCTACCATATGGCTTATCCTGTTATGGATGCTGGGGCTGCTGACACTAGGAAGGCCCAGTGCCTGAGTTCAAGAAGTTCCTAAACTAGTGTGTGGTCCTTGTAGTCCCACCTACTCAGGAGGCTGAAGCAGAAGGAATGCTTGAACCCAAAAACTCAAGGCTGTAATGCACTATGATCATGCCTATGAATAGCTGCTACACTCAAGCCCAGGCAACATAGACAGACCCCCATCTCTAAAAAAATAAAAGAAGGTCTTAATCTAGTGATGAAAACACACATAAGTAGATCACTGCATACCATGGGGTAAGTACAGAAATAGTTTTCAGTGAATACTGGAGAGTACAGAGGTGGATCCTAACTATATCTGGGGAGCTCAGGAAGGTTCATGCCTCCCAGTCTTTCACTAAATTACAATTTCTGCAGGGAGGAGATGGTGGCATTCATCTATATACATATAATAAGCCCTCAATAAATGCAGCTGGCACATCCTCAATTCATATTGGATGGATGATTGAACAAAGGGATGAGAGCAAATTTAGTCACTTCCTCCCATCTTCCCACCACTCTGTGTATCCCTCTGTTATAGCATATATTTACCCTCTTGTGATTTTTAAATTTTTGCGTCTCTCCATCTAGACTGTGAACTTCTTGAGAGCTGGGACTATGTCTGACTCATTTCTGTTGCCCTGGCACCCAGAAAAGGACATGGTTTAGAAAAAGCATACCTTGATCTTTCTATATTAAGTATACACATTCATAATCCCATCCTCACCCTCTGGGTCCAAAGTCACAGGCAGGAGAGAGAATGAGAGGTCTGTTCCTAATGCCCCCACCAGCCTAAGAACCCAGCAAAACCCTCAACATGAAGGATCTCCCCCAGGGAGCACACTGATTGTAGTTCAGAGAGTGGGATGTGATCTTAGTAACCATCTAGTGCAACCTCCCAATCCCTCTCTCCAGCATAAAAATCCCCCCGCCAGTCTCTAACTCCAAGTATGTGGTCCGTGACTGGGATATTCCTCTCTGTATGCTACCAATCCCACTAGTCTGAAGCTTGGGCTGTTGTAGAGTTCTTCCTTATGCACAGAGGAGACCGCATGGTGTCATACAAAGAATGTGAGAGTTGGGCAAGCCTGAATTCAAGTCCTAGCTCCCCATTTCCTAACTTTGCAAGTGAGGTACTAATCTCCCTGAGGCTCTGTTTCTTCATCTGTGAAATAGAGATAAGAATGACTTCCTTGGCCGGGCGCGGTGGCTCACACCTGTAATTCCAGCACTTTGGGAGGCCGAGACGGGCAGATCACGAGGTCAGGAGATCGAGACCATTCTGGCTAACACGGTGAAACCCCGTCTCTACTAAAAAATACAAAAAAAAATTAGCCAGGCGTGGTGGCGGGCGCCTGTAGTCCCAGCTACTCCGGAAGCTGAGGCAGGAGAATGGCGTAAACCCGGGAGGCGGAGCTTGCAGTGAGCCGAGATCGCGCCACTGCACTCCAGCCTGGGCGACAGAGCAAGACTCCATCTCAAAAAAAAAAAAAAGAATGACTTCTTTTAGGCTGGGCGAGGTGGCTCACGCCTGTAATCTCTGCACTCTGGGAGGCCTAGGTAGGTGGATCACTTGAGGTCAGGAGTTTGAGACCAGCCTGGCCAACATGGTGAAACCCGGTCTCTACTAAAAATACAAAAATTAGCTGGGCATGGTGATATATGCCTGTAATCCCAGCTACTCAGGAGGCTGAGGCAGGAGAATCGCTTGAACCCAGGGGGTGGAAGTTGCAGTTCGCCGAGATCAGGCCAGTGCACTCCAGCCTGGGTGACAGAGCAAGAGAGACTCCGTATCAAAAAAAAAAAAAAAGGACTTCCTTTATTGCCATGAAAATAAACGAGGCGGCCTGTGTGAGGTGCCTAAGATATAGGTCCCTAATGCCTCCTTAGCTAGTCAATTTCACCTCCTAGTACGTTCACTCATTGGCCCTGACTGGACCCACTGGAAACTCCACAAACTTCAGGGCTTTCCTTGCGCTCCAGAGTCCAAGGCTTCTCACTGCATCCCGACCCCACCCCCGCCTCTCCTCATCTAGGGCACACTCTCTCTCAATTGCCACCTACGCTCTACACTCCCACCCCACGGCCCCCAACCAGCTGGATACCTTCGCAGATGTCACCACGCTCCTGGAATCCCGCGCTGCAGCTGCAGCGGCCCACAGGCACCAGCCACTCGCCGTCAGCGCCGCAGTGCATGCGTGGGGGGCTGCCAGGCTCCCCTTCCGAGTGCGCCACGCACGTTCCGGCCACTTCCACCAGTGTGGAGAAGGCACTCTCGGCTGCGGTGGCTGGGAACGCGGCCAGGCCCCGCACAGTGGCACGGCACTGCTTGTAGTAGACGCGTACGGAGACAAGCGCCACGCAGGCGCCCACGTCCTGAAAGGCCAGGTGGAAACCCCGCCGGCTGAGTGGGCCAATCTCGCGCACCTCTGTGTTCAGCTTCATCTTGCGCTCACCCAGGTCGCCCTGCGTGAAACTCTCGTCCGCCGCGATCGTGTCGATTTTGCGGGGCCGGCTGCCGCCTAGGCGGGGACGCCCGCGGCCCAGGTCGGCCTCAGTTTCCAGGTAGTAGACGTTGAAGGTCTCCTTGCAGGTGCCCGCGGCGCCAGGGATGCTGCTGCAGTCACGGAGTGTGAACTGCAGCTCCACAAAGATGCGCTGCCCGCGGCCGCGGCTGATCCAGCCAGTCTGCAGCCAGTTGTCTTGGTTGGGCTCCAGCACATTGCACACTTGGTATGTGCGGATGGGACGGTCGTGTTCATCCACACCGCTGATCTCCTCCCACTGGGGACAAGAATAAAGGGGTGGGCAGCCCAGAGCCAACGTGCTTCCAGGAGGTGGAGCGCTAGCAGTGACTCCTGACTTCTCTCTCACCACCATGCACACCCCAGAAATTGTAAGATGCAGCGCTGGGAGAAACTTTGGAAACAAATGATCCCAATCCTTATTTTTATAGATGGGGAAACTAAGGCTCCAGAGTGAGAGCGATTTGACCAGGTATGCACATCAAGTTAGTGGTGGAGCTAGGAATGGTGCCTGTAGTCTCCTGACTCTCCGACCAGTGCCCTTTGCACTCCACCAAGCTGCTGTTACAGCCCACATCATCCCACCCCTACCACAAGTCTCCAAGCCTCTTTTAGGACTCCCAGTCTTGCTTGCTCTGTCAATCAACCAACAACATTTCTTGGAGGATCTACTACTATGTGCAAGCCACTGTCCTGTATTAGCTCCATCTGGATGCCCGGTTTCTGTTCCTAGACAGCCAGCTCTGTCCTCACTTATTCACTTTTTTTTTTTTTTGGACTGTCTAACTGCCTGAAGACTCAACGTTTTCTAATAGGCAACTCTGGCTTGAAGCCAGGGCTGCTGGAGACCACACACTCTGAGGAGCACTTTTGTCTGATGTAAACATGAGGAGCTGAGGAGACTGTGTCCTGGACCACCAGAAGATCCCTGGGACAGGGAGGGACACTTGTGCACTTACCCCATTACTCGGCAGTGCAGTCCAGCCCAGCTCGGCCTGGGAGGCTTTGGAATCCAGGAGGATGACTAAGAAGAGGGGAAGACAGAAATGTCAGAAATCGAGAAGGTCAATTTAGCAAGAGAGTGGAATCCTTTGGTGAAGTCCCTGTAAATTTGCTGAGAGAATGCAAAATGTGACAAATGATATGGACAAGTTTTTCCTACTTCATAAATCCCCAGGAGGGGGTGTGAATAGCTCAAATCCAGAGAGAGGTAGCCACAGTCAGTAGGGAAGGAGCTTGTATTCAATTCCTGGGGCTACTGTAACAGATTACCACAAACACAGTGGCTGAAAACAACATATTGTTTTTCTGTTACAGTTCTGGAGGTCAGAAGCCCAAAGCCACTTTCACTGGTCTAGAGTCAAGGTGTCAGCAGGACTGTTTTCTTTTGGAGGCTCTGAGGGGAGAATTCATGTCCTTACCATCTTCAGTGTCTGGTGGCCGCCTGTAGTCCCTGGCTTGTGGTCTCCTCCTCCATCTTCAAATCATATCACTTTAATCTCTGCCTCAGTCATCACACTGCCTCCTCCTCTGACTCTGACTCCTCCTGCACCCCTCATACAAGGACGATTGTGATTATTGGGCCCCTCCAAATAGTCTAAAACAATCTCTCCATCTCAAAAGATCATTAATCACATATGCAAAGTCCTTTTTGTCACTGAAGGTAACATTCACAGGTTCTAGGGATTAGGATATTGACATATTGGGGGTGGGGGTCATTATTCAGCCTTCTACAGGGTCCATGGCAAATACTCTAAGGTTGGCTCTCAGATTGGGGTGGGAGTCAGTGACTCTCCCCAGCCTTCTTAGATTCCCAAAGTTATAACTAAGTGTCAGTTAGAGAGAGAGAGAAAGTGAGTAGTGAATGTATCGGGGGATTCCTGTATATACCCCCCAATCCACTCCCACTCAGGGGTTTTTCTGAGGTCGATGGTCCCTAGGCATGAAGACTTGAACATTTTTAGTCTGACTCCCTGGGCCTCTGAGAAAACAATGTAGAGAGATACTGCTAACAACTGGAGAAATAAAATCTCTCTTCTCCTCAGCCAGCCCTTTTCCCAGGGGCTGTCACTTCCACTGCTTTTGAAAGAATGTCAGGGGTCCTTTTATGTATACATCTATGACCCTTCCTACCAGAGAAGCTTGGAGTCCCTTTATTCCCCCAGGAGGCATTGGATCAGCAGCCTGCAACCGCTCAGCATGGATCACAGAAACTGGTTTGGACAGCAGAGCCCGCAGACCAGAGACAGGAGGCCAGGACATCCCGCAGTCTTGGAAGATTACCCTCTAGAGCTTAAGCCAGGGGGTGGGCCACCAAGGTGAGGGCCTCTCCAGAGGCATCAGCGACTGTGGGCAGGACCGCCGACAGCTTTCCGAGATCCGCGCAACTGACAGCACATCGGAATTGCATACTGGAAGGCATCAGCCATCCAGGGCCCCGACCAACCCCGCGGTCAACGCCTCAGATTCCAGCTCCTCCGGATTCTGCACCTGAATATGACGCCTCTGGATTCAACTGAGCGTATAGCTCCCCCAAATGCACAATCAGAGGCAAGACGCGGGCTCCAGTATCGTCGACAGCCTCAAACCCGGCAACGCCGAGCGCGCCCGGTAGACTACGCTCAGAATTCAGCACTGCGGACAGTTCCATGATCCGCACGTCGGGCAGCGCCCGGACCCAGCCCCCCTCGACCAGCATTCCACCTCATGCTGGCCACACTGTGGTCTCCTAGCCCCTGTGGTCCGGGCTCCGTCCGGTCTTTCCATATTCCGAGCTCACCTCCGCATCTCCCTGTCTCCACTCTTCATCTCCCCGCCCCCGCACCTCCCACCTCCAATCACTCAGCTTGTCCGTCTCACCGGCGGCCGCTGGACCTCTGCCTCTGGCTCCCGCGGTTCCTGGTCTCTTTCTTCCCCAACCTCCCGGGTCTCCAGCCCCCAAGCTCCTCAGCGCCCCTCTCTTCGCTATTGCTTGGCCACATTTTTCTCTGTCTCTCCAGTTCTTTGCTGCCTGCTTGCTTCAAGCCCCAGTACAGACTTTAGTCTCTCCAATGACTCCTTCCCGCAGAACCCCCGTCCCCAACCCCCTATCTTTTGGCATGCCAGGCTCCGAGCAAAGCCCACCAGTCTTCTCACCTTCCTCGGCGGTCCCAGGCCGCCAGGGTCCCAAAAGCAGCACGAGACAGAGCGGCATCCGGCAGAGGAACAAGCGCAGCGGGTGTGGACCGGCGCCGGTCTCCATGGTCCGCAGACCGAGCTGTCAGTGCGGCGGCGGCTCAAGCCGCGCCAGCCTAGCACCGCTGAGCAGTGCCCCCAGACCCCAGCGCCAGCTGGGGGCGGGGTCTCGCCCCTCGCCATCATCCATGGGGACCAATCACTAGGCACCGCCGCGGGATGCCCACCAATCCCCGCCAGCAGAGGGTGGGAAGGTGGAGTTTCATAGGCCAGGGGCGGAACACCCAGCTGGTGGGGAAAGGAAGGGGTCCCGCAGATCCCCACACCGTGGGGGGTGGGGCAGCCGTGGGAGCTGGCGGGGCTTCTGAGCGAGGGGGATGAGCTGGCGTCTGTGGCCCAGAGCGCTAAACCTTAGCTCCTCATTCCTGAGAAGTAGGCAGGCAACGTGGGATTGGCTTAAAGAGGGGCGACCCTCGGGGAGGCAGCGACACTTGCAGCCTCTGAGCTAGTCTGGAAGCTCCCTTGTTCCCAGGACTTGGGGGTTTTGAAGCTTTATGTCCTGACCCCAAGCTCTGGGGAGCTCTCCTATCTCCCTGCCCTAGGTCTGTTCCTGTGTCTGAGGCTCCTGGTGTCTCCTGGCTCATCCCTCCCCTTTCTCTTCCCGCCCTCATCACATACACACACACACACACACACACACACACACACACACACACACACACAGCGGCAGGAAGGAGGGGCCGAACCCGAACCCGGGAGCTGTTCGGGAAAGGAGAGCAAAGTGAGGGACGGGGTCCCGCCCTACCAGCGCGCTGCCGAGGCTGGGAAACCATGTGGACGCTGGGATGGGGGCGGTGGTGGTTTTGCATGAACGATCTGTTCCTCAGGTTCTTGTTCCTGCTGTCAAGACACAAGCAGCACACCTCACAACCACCCCTGTCCTCAGTCTGCTCAGAGTCGGGGGTTCGCCTCTTTGATCACCCCACTCCGCCCACCCCAGGGGACTAGTGAACAGCACAGCCGCCAGGAATTGGAGATTCCTGCGAGAGAGGCGGAGCAATCCTGGAAGAGTTCAGCCGGGACTGAAGAAGCCGCAAGAAAACGTGGAACACGACCTCTGTCTAGTGAAGGTCATTTATGTGCAAGCTGAGGGTTTAACACTTTGGTGGTGGGAAGGGCTGGGGCCCTCCAGGACGAGGGAGGCGGCTACTGAGCGCCACCATCTGGGCTGAACTTGAGGGGAGAAAGCTCCACCCACCTCGTGGCTTTTCCGAGCTCTTTTCTTGGGGCACCCACCCCCTCTCTATTTGGAAGCGAACATAGCCTAAGAAGCCTCGAGAGTGAATGTGAATCCTGTGACTACTTGGCCCCTGCGGTCTGAGTGTCTGTGCTTTTGCATATATGTATCCCTCACCCCTCCACCCAGCCCTCACTGGGCGCCATGCTCTGTGCTGCAGATGCCCTGGTGAACCATTCTGTCTCTGCCACAGTCCATACCTCTTTGAATACCGAGTGTAAGGAGGATTCCTGGCATCGTAGATCACTGGCCATTTACAACCTGCTTTCATGTGCCATTTCTGCGTGTGTTCGTGTGTATGTGTGTGAGTAAATGCACACGTGCTCACTCAGACATACTTGCTGGACAGTAGCAATAGGAGGAGTAGGTGGGAGGAATTGGTCTTCTTTACCTGCAGAAAGAAAAGTCATCAGGAGAGGCTGTGGCTTGGACACTACGGGAGACAAGCCCGCTGAGGAAGCAGAAGGAGGTGTGGCATCCGTCCAGTCCTTGGATGCAGGCGGAACCTCTAAAACCAGACCTACCTGAGGAAGGGTTCTCACACTGCCACCTCCTTTCCATCTTCATTCTCCTCACGCTCGATTTCTCCCCTCCCGCTCCCTCCAGCTCTGGGAGATGGTATTTTTAGAAGCTGCTTAGAGACCCGGGACTCCTTTCATTTCAAAATGAGTCCTCACTCCACCATCCCTCACTCCTCTTTAGAACCGGGTGCCATCCCCTTAGCAGGCTCTAAGGCACTAGTCAGGGTTTCTTACTGAAGCTCCAGGGACTTCAACCCAGAGGTTCTGACCCTAGGTGCTAAAACAAAATACAGACTTCCTCTGAACCTGAGAAGGACCTTTCAGAAACCAAGCAGATGGGGGAAATTACCCAGGGAAATCTACATAGGATGCTCTGGCAAACATCTGACTGTTGGAGTCTGGTTTCTACCCTCTTCCACCATACACACCTTCAGGCATCTGGGGTGAATTTCCAGACGGAGACCCTAGGAATAGGGGGAAAGAAGAGGACGAAAAGTCGTGAAATAATCCTTCCCTTTCTTCCTCTGAGCAATTCATTTATAATAAAACCAGAATGGAGAAGCCCCAGTGAATGCAGATATATGCAAATCAGCTGGATCTTAATAAGAGTTGCTCTAAGGCGGACCCCACTCTATCAGGAAGCTGCAGAACAGACAGCTCAGTAAAATTCCGGAAGGACTTAGAAGGAAACCAACCCATTGTTTATCGGGACATTTAAGTGCTGGGGGCCAGTTAACTAATGGCTAGAGTTAGGTTCCTCCCAGGAATAGCAGTGGAGACTGGTGAAATTTGGGGGTGGGGGCAGGGGGTGGTATCTGTCCCTGGCGTTGAACCCTCAGCCCTCCAGCCAGCTTTGGGCTTTCTATCCATGGTGCTGAATCCAACAGGGTCTGGACACTCAGCTGGACCTGGGACTTCTCTGCTGCCATGTTCTGATCCTTGGCAGGATCATAAAGGGTAAGTAGTTTTGCTTCATAATCTTAAAGATTTTCTCTGCTTAATTTTCAAAATTAGTAAATTAAATGCTTTATATTTCCTTTAGCTAAGAATATACAGTGGTGGCTTCTACTCCTCCAGCCTATAACCAAAATCCGACAACTCATGTCTTCAGGAGATAAACAGCCTTCACTCCCTTGCAGAAGGGTGGAGGGGCCTGGAACCCACCCAGAAACATCTTGTTTTCTCTTTTGCTCCTCTCAGACTTCTACTGAAGTAGGCTGGAAGAGATACTCCTCTCTACTTCTACCTCACTATCTTCTAGGATCGTGGGGGAGGACACTTGATGTGGCTGAGCAACTTAATTAAGCACCCAAAATAATAAAAAGTGACCTTCCAGGGAGCAGATTTAATGTTACCACAACCTCCATCTCCAAGTTACTGAAAGTTACAAATCTAGAGGCTGAAGATTTGACCTCTTCCTTTTGCACAGATACAGAAAGTATGGTGAGCCTGACTGGACAGAGAAGGTTATCTCCTCTATAAAGAAGTTTAAGATTGTGTCAGAGGAATCAGGGTCAAGTCCCACTCTCAGGAAGAAGGACGGGGAGAGGCAAAGAGCAGTGGGAGCTTTATTGTTCAAAAGGTCATCTTTTTTTTTTTTTTTTTTTTTTTTTTTTTTTTTTTTGAGATGGAGTGTCTCTCTTTTTTGCCCAGGCTGGACTGCAATGGCATGGCCCGATCTTGGTTCACTGCAACCTCCACCTCCCAGGTTCAAGCAATTCTCCTGCCTCAGCCTCCCAAGTAGCTGGGACTACAGGTGCACACCACCATACCTGGCTAATTTTGTGGTTTTAGTAGAGACAGGATTTTGCCATGTGGTCCAGGCTGGTCTCAAACTCCTGACCTCAAGTGATCCACCTGCCTCAGCCTCCCAAAGTGCTGGGATTATAAGCGTGAGCCACCACGCCTGGCCTCAATTGTATTTTCTTGGATAAAGGAAGCATAGAGCATTTAATTTACTAATTTTGAAAATTAAGCAGAGAAAACCTTTAAGATTATGAAACACAACTACTTACCCTTTATGAGCCTCCACTTCTTTCTGTGTAAAATAGGAGCAAAAACACCTTTCAGAGTTATTGTGAGGTCAGAATATAATTTTTACATATGGCCCAGCTCTGTGCTTGGCACGTAGCTCTGGTATATATTATTAATCAACTCCATGGTTAATTAAGGTTAAAAAAAAAAACAGAAGGAAAAAGGAAAAGAAGTCTGGGCATGGTGGCTCACACCTGTAACCCCAGCACTTTGGGAGGCCGAGGTGAGTGGATCATCTGAGGTCAGGAGTTCAAGACCAGTCTGACCAACATAGTGAAACTCCGTCTCTACTAAAAATGCAAAATAGCTGGATGCGGTGGTGTGTGCCTGTAGTCCTAGCTACTCGGGAGGCCGAGGCAGGAGAATTGCTTGAACCTGGGAGGCGGAGGTTGCTGTGAGCCGAGATCATGCCATTGCACTCCAGCCTGGGCAAAAAAGAGAGACACTCCATCTCAAAAAAAAAAGAAAAAAAAAAAGGAAAAGAAGGGATAAAGGAAGGTTAAGTGGTGAGGTAGGAAGACAGAAAGATATATATACACATATATATATGTGTGTGTATATATATAATTAGAGAGAGAGAGTCGTAGAGGAAAAGACAGAATGAGAGAGAAAGAAAGAGACAGCTGGTTGAGGTGAATGTGGCTAGAAAGCACAGGAGTCTGAAAGAAATGTGCTTGAAGAGACAGGAATGTCATCAGGGCAGGTTGGCTGGCCAGCTGCCAAGTGGCATCAGAGGTGACATTTACTTTGAATTCATCATGGTCCAGGCTTATGAACTTGACTTTAACAGCATTAAGAGAGAATCTATCTATTGGGGAATGGAAAGTAGATCCTACTAACTCAGCTCCTATCCTGCTATCTGAGCCAGAGAAGCAATGTATTAATTTATGATGAGAAATGGAACTGCCAAGGGGGACAGAATGCTCACAATGGCATGTCCAGCACATTCTTTCCCTGTAGGAAAACATGTCCTGGAAGCCAATTTATGATGTGAAGACAGCTTTGAGAGTGGGAGGGGAGGGAGGTGAATGGTTTAAATATTTGATGGCATCAGGCTCTGATAGCCTTGTTCCTCCAAATCCCCAGAAGGGATAAACCTGCTATTGGCACCTGAGTAACTGTGTAGGGGCCAGGACTGGGACTGGAATATACAAACATGTGCTTCTCTGACTCTCTTTCTCTCTCTTTCTCCCTAATGCATATATACATACACATACACACAGATACACACACACACACACACACATATACACACAACACACACACATACACAGACATACATATATTTATGTATGTATTAG